GTTTAAGGTGCCACTGGGCTATGAAAAAAAAACAGTTGCAGCTAGCTTGGTTTCTGCCCAAGTTTCTGCCCAGTTTTGTGCTTGAAACCCAAGGCCTTGGTGGTGTAGGCCCCAAGGGAATCTCCTGGTCTTTGGATTGTGGAGAGTGTGGGAAAAGCTTAGTATCTGGGTTGGAATGTACCATTCCTCATAGCATAGTTTTTCACAGCTTCCCTTGGCTATCGGAGGGAGTTCTCCAACCCCTTGCACTTCCAAGGTGAGGTAACCCCCACCCTACTTCAGCTTGCCCTTTGTGGCTGCACCCACTGTCTAACCAGGCCCAGTTAGGTGAGCCAGGTACCTCAGTTGGAAATGCAGAAATCACCTACCTGCTGCATTGATCTTGCTGGGAGATGCAGGCCCAAGCTGTTCCTATTTGCCCATTTTGCCCTGGAATTCTATGGTTTCTATGAAGCAAAGCAACCCAGAAGGAGCAGTAAGATGCTTACAGGGAAGAGGTGGCCCAAGGCAGCAACTTTATGTTTTTCCTAAGGGCCACCTTGTATGGACTTCCAGAAGCATGTTCCGGGGAAGAATGCTATGCCTCATTTTAATCTTTACTGCACTGTCTGTTGCTGATCTAACAAACTACTGTAAACTTTCTGGCTTAAAACAACACAGTTCAGCAACACAAAGTTTTGAAGGTCAGACATTCAAAGTGGGTCTTACTGGGTCAAGAGTCTTCTGGAAACTCTAGAGAAGAATCTATCTCTTGCCTTTTCCAGCTTCTAGAGGGCAGTTACATTCCTTGGCTCCTGGCTCCTTTCCATCTTCAACACCAGAAGTGGCAGATTGAATCTTTCTGATATTGCATCACTCTGACACTGACTCTCTTGCACTTATAAGGATCCTCATGATTACCTTGAGTCTATACAGATAATTCAGGATAATCTCCCTATCTCTAGATGATCTGATTAGCTACCTTAATTCCATCTACAAACTTAATTCTCCTATGCCATATAATATATTTACAAATTCTGAGGATTAGAATGTGGACATTTTAGAGGGACATTATTATTCTTCCACATCTATGTAGTGAGGAAACAAATTCTCATGGTAAATATATATTTGTAAAAATATCTACTCTTCAGGATTCACAAAGACAAAATACAAATAAAAATGTGTCGGGCTCTTTGACCTTAGGGAATTCATGTAATGCAGTAAAAATTCTAAGGAGATTGCGTGAGGAATTACTATGCTGCAGACTGTATAAATGTACCTTTGTAAAAGAGTATGTGGTTCTATAGTGCATGTTCTGTATGTATTGGTTTTCATACTTCATGTGTATGAGAAAAGCATTGATGAAAACCGGACCTCCATACCCCAGATAAAGAAATTGTGATAAACTCAGATGAAATGGGTACAAGTATAAAAAGAAGAAACTGATCAAAAGATGACTTTATAAAAAGTAAAAGCAGTTTTTTGCATTCTTTTTATCATGTAATAATTTTTAGTCTCAGACCTTCATCATTTCTTCTGGCTCCAAACCTGGATCACATCTATGCTGCTGATTTAGCAGCCAAGTCAATAATTTAAATGCTAGGACTTATTCTGCATGCTAAATTATGTTTACAGAATCAAAGGATTTTCAAATGGAAGGGCTTATCTGGAATTTGGAGATGAGATCTATCCAAGTGCAGAGAAAAATCTTAAGTCTGAGAAATAATTAAATTACAACACTGTTTTTATTGAGCTCAAAATCAGTTTGTTGAAAAACTTAAATGTCTCTCTGATTTTGTCTTCCTGTTCATTTTTAAACAAAAAATTACTATTGATTTTGTAAATATAATGCTTGCTCATTATAGTGATTTCAAGTCATGCAGAAAAGTAAAAAGAGGTTGAAAAAAATCACTCCAAATAATTTTTGTTAAACCATTATTAACATATAATACATGCTATTTTTATAAATAAGTATTGACGTAGAAAGAAGCCAAATGAAGCTGAAATGAATTGGAGTAGAATTCTGTACTTCAAATAAATGTTGTATTTAGTACAGGATATATATATATATATATATATTTTATTTTATTTTATTTTATTTTATTTTATTTTGAGAAACAGTCTCACTCTTGCCCTGGCTGGAGTGCAGTGGGGTGACCTAGGCTCACTGCAACCTCCACCTCCCCGGTTCAAGCGATTCTTCTGCCTCAGCTTCCCAAGTAGCTGGGACTACAGGCATACGCCATCACGCCTGGCTAATTTTTGTGTTTTCAATAGAGCCAGGTTTCACCATATTGGCTAGGCTGGTCTTAAACTCCGACCTTGTGATCCACTCGCCTCAGCCTCCCAAAGTGTTGGAATTTAGGCGTGAGCCACTGCCACCTGGCAGGATATGTTATTTTTTAAGAGATCTCTCTAAAAGTTAAGAAGAGATTATTGAAAACATTAAAATGTTGAAATTATAGCTCTAAAATCTAGATATGTTAATTATTTATGGCATCAATTGTTTTCCTCTTCTGAAAGAAAAAAGTCATCAGCCTCCTCCTTTTCCCCTCTCCCACCTCTTGATCTTGTTATTTATATTTATTTATATATTTCATATATATATCTATATTGCCAAGGTTTACACATTTATATTCTGTTCTATAATTATTTAAATATACTTTCAATGGCTTTGATGTTCACTCAAGACCTTTTTATGCATTTCCTAATTTTCTTACCTTTCAGTCATTTCTTAAGTAGCTGGATTTCATTATCAAGTAATGTGTACTTACCTGGTTTTCTCTTTACTTTGGCTTGGGTTTAGTGGGAAAGAGTGCATGTTTGAAGACATCTATATGCTCTATTGATGTTATACATCTTATATACAGGAATTTTTGCATACCTTGAAGGTTTGTAATGTTGCATTATATCTCTTTTTCTTCAGAATTTCTTATATATTTTCCAGTGGCTTCTGTTAAGAATGTTTCTATGGAATGATATGAAACCAAATAATAACTTGTCTCAGGGTTGAGTGTTTGTATCAAGTTTCCTTGGAATGAATATATGTTCCTTTTCAATCTGAAGATTAAATTTTTGTCATTTCAGAGAAATTTTCTTCTTTTTTTTAATCTTTGGGTACATTGATGTGTTCCTCTGGTTTATTTTATTATTATTATTATTTTAACCTAAGACACATTACTTTGTCGCACAGAATTTATCAGTTTTCCAGTTCTATGAGCTTTTTGCTTGTTGTTTAATTTTGTCCTTTTGTATTTAAAGATATGTATTTACTATTATTATCTCATTTTTTCTTGCTCGAATTTTATTATTAGCTCTTTAATGATATTGTTTCCATCCTCCATTTCCTTAAGTTTGCAATCCTTCTTTTCTCCATTCTTCTGTTTTTAAATTTATCTTTAAATTATTTTAGTCCTAATTTACTTAGTAGTGTATAGCCACGGTTTTATATATTTTAAAAATTATATCTTGAAGATGGTTTCATATAAAAACTTACTCAACTTCTGCACTCTTTTGAATTGTATATAACATTTCATTTTTATTCATATATAAATTATGTAACTCAGGCTCATGAAACATAGTGTAAATAAATTTTTGTTTCTGCCTACACTTCTTTAAAATTTATTCAGTGCCCATAATCTTCCCTGCCTGCCTCTGGGTAGGAATTTGGGCAGATTCTCATGACTTTCCTGCTCCCTCTTGAGAAACGAGTCAGTTCCAAAGGCACTGTATCACAAACACAGACCAAATTCAAAAATCAGAATGCACATGCCAGAGATTTTTCAAAATTCAGAGATAAACAATTCAATCAAATTTTTTTTTTTTTTTTTTTAGGTAGAGACTGGGTTTCACCATGTTGCCCAGTCTGGCCTTGTTTTGAACTCCTGGACTCAGGCACTCCGCCCACCTTGGCCTCCCAACGTGTTGAGATTACAGGCTTGAGCCACTGAGGCTGGCCAGAGATAAGCAATTCAAAATTGATTTAACACAAAATCTTCTCTCCAAACAAACTTAATGTTAGAAGTCTGAAGAGGAAAAGGGCAATGGAGTTGTTTTCATGTGAAACTTTCTTCCTTGTGGAGCCCCTCTAACCTGCCTCTTCATGCCTTGAAATGTGCTGGTTTCTAAGCCCTCAGAGCTTAGGATTTCAGAGCTGGGAGAATAGGAAAGAGTAAGAAATGTGGACTAGTCTCTTTTAAGCTGCATTCTTTCATGTTCTCTAGACCTGGCATATGTTTAAAAAGAACTCTCCCTGGTGGGCTTTTCAGAGATTCCCTGCTGAGTCCCATCAAATATATCTCTTTTACATGAGACATGAACCTTTTCCTTCAGCAAGTCTTTTTCTCTCTGGTTTCAACCTACATTTCTCTGACAGTCCACCCTACACAGCAGCACAGTGATGAGTCCCCTCATTCTTTGCCAGTTACCAATAGCCCTCTTAGGTTAACTAAAGATGGCCTTAACTTGGTTCTTTCTCTCCCATCTGTAACTGGACCAGGGAGAAATACATGTTTTCTCCTGCCAAGCTTGGGACTATGGGCCATTCTCAACACAGAACTTTCTTGATCTCACTGTCAAATGGTAAGTTAGCTTTCTTCTCACTGTAAGGCCGGTTGCCTTGCCGGAAGTCAAATGGACACATTCATCACTCTCCGCCCCTGATAACTGCGTCATCACCCAAGCTCATTATCTGGCTTCCCCACATAGCTTCCCCGCACCTGCCTCTGCATACCATGCCCAAGCCCACACTCAGCACTAGATTATGCATCCAACCTCAAGCCCACTGTTAAAAAACCCTGCAGAGAAATTTTTTAAAGAAACCCCACCATACACTGCCTAGCAACAGCCTGCCCCATACGCCCCCGGCAGGCCCGCATACCCAAGGTCCCACCCGCCTACCAATGGCAGCTAGTTTCATATACTTCCTACTTTAACTCCATGTACTTCCTGCTCCTCAACAGCCAATATAAATGCCTTCTCTTTGTTTCCCCAGTTATCAATCAAGGTCCACTTACCCAGGGTCCCGCCCACCTACCAATGGCAGCTAGTTTCATGTACTTCCTACTTTAACTCCAGGTACTTCCTGCCCCTCAACAGCCAATAGAAATGCCTTCTCTTTGTTTCCCCAGTAGCCAATCAATTGCCTGCCCTCCCCATAAAACCCCAAGCACTAAACAGCCGGGCAAGACTTCTCTGGCCCCCCCCTTGGACCACTGAAGCTCGCCTGGGAGCTGAATAATTAGCTTCTCACTTTCTTATACTTGCCTCAGTTTCTTCATTTTACCTCAGCAATAAATCTTACATTTGGTGCCGAAACCCGGGAGGAGTTGTGAGACCCTTCCCCCTCCTGGGAGGGGGGAACTGACTCCTCCACCCGAGGCCAGACCAGGAGCTGCTCTGCCATGAGGTAAGACTTCTGTTGCCCACAACATTTCCCTCTGCCTGCTCTGTGGGCTCCCTACTCGTAATCGCGGCCACCTCCTCGTTACTCACCGTGGGCCCAGGGCCCTGGCCTCATTCGGAGGACCTGAGCATAGTGGAGGCATTCCTACATTTTTGTCTTCTCCCCGTAAGGGGTCTCTCAGGGCCAGAAATCTAAGGAAGACATCCTCACCTTCCTGAACCCTCTCGTAATCTCCGGTGTTTGGGGGGATGGCCTGATATGCTGAGCCAACCTTCTGATCATCTCTGCAGCAGCGGCTAAGGTTTGGGTGATAAGAAGTCTTGTTCACAAGCCCAGGCTTTGCCTAGGACTAAAACAGACATCTGGCTCTCAATCTCAAACTTGCCCTTTGGCAGGTCAGCTCCCGCCTAGGCACTTTTAGTTTTTTTTTTTCTCTCTCTCTCTACTCCAAAGCAAGGTGTGTGAGTGAGTGAGTCTTTGTGTAGTCCCACAGCTAAATGGCTAAGGGCTAGTGTGGGCCTCCAACCGCAGTTCCATGGGGACGTCATAAGGCATAATGGTGATTCACCTCAGGACCAACAGTTCTGAGGTAACCAGGCCCAGGGGTTATATGAGTACACCTTAGCCAAGACACCCCTGAAATATATCTCTGGGGGCGTGGCCGGGAAGGCATCAGACTGGTCTCCCATCTGAGGGGCACCCACCCTTTGTCTGTCAATCCTATATGTGTTCCTGTCTCTACTGTAGATTTGCCAGCTTTGTTAGGCTCTTACTAACTGATATACAGTGGATCAAGCCTACTTCCCTTGAGGTACCAGATATTCTACAGTAGGTAACAGACCACTAGCTTCAGGGGACCTTCATTGAGTTCCTGCCTCTACAAATAACTCTGTCTCATTTTTTCTTCTATTCTTCTTCTACCACTGAAACCCCACTTCCCACTTCCTCTAGTTTCACTTCCTCTAACTCTACCATGTGACAAATAGCTCTAGCCCTGTCCCTTTTTATTTTCTTTCTTATTGTTATCATTGCAGCCTGTAAGATCTCTCAGCCTCCCCCTCCAGGAAAGGAGCTTTTCTGTCCACGTTGAGTATAATTTCTTTTTATGTCCACTTCTCACCCTTAGGTCACTGAAGAAGATAAAATTTGGGTAATCAGAACTCCTGCCCAGACCCCAAGTCACCACCAGGATGCCTAGTCCAAAATCTACCCAAACTGGGTCTTTCTATAAAAAAGAAAAGGCTACTCTTCCTCTCCTCTGTGGCCTGGCCACAGTATCCTCTAGACAACCAGTCCAAGTGGCCTCCTGGGGGCACCCTCAACTTTAATGTTCTAACAGATTTAGACAACTTCTGCCAAAGGAATAGCAAGTGAGTGGAGGTTCCCTATATTCAGGCTTTCTGGCACCTCTATTCCCACCCCAGCCTCTGCTCATCCTGCAGTACTGCCCAAGTACTCCTGGCAAAAATGTTCCTCCACTGCCCTTGGCCCCTTTGCCGACCTCCTCCTCTTCTTTATCTGACCCTTATCTGTCTGAAGAACTCTCCCTACCCCCCACTTGATCCACTAATCCCCCATTATATGTGCACCCCCAACCCCCTCCTCCTCCTCCTCCTCCTCCTCCAAGTTCGGACATGGACTCTCCTATTAGTGCTCACACTCACTCGCTCAGTACTCCCAGCAACAAAAACTCCCTCCTTTGTCCTCTCCGCGAGGTGGCTGATGCAGAGAGTGTTGTCTGAGTACATGTTCCCCTCTCCCTTACTGATCTGTCCACCATTGAGAAACACTTAGGGTCATTCTCCACCAATCCTACTGCTTACATCAAGGAATTTTGGTACCTCACTCAGGCATATGACCTAACCTGACATGACACTTATGTAATCCTGTCCTCTACCCTTACTCCTGATGAGCGTAACCACATCCTCATGGCAGCCAGGGCACATGCTAATCAAGTACATCTCACTGATCCTCAGATGCCAGTAGGCGCAGTGGCAGTCCCTGAGGCTGATCCTAACTGGGACTATCAAATTGGCCAAAATGGCTGCCACCGCCAAGACCAAATGCTACAGTGCCTCCTAGCAGGCATGCAAAATGCAGCCCAAAAAGTAGTTAATTATGGTAAACTGCAGGATAGAACTCAGGGTCCTACTAAAAATCCAGCTGCCTTCCTAGACTGGCTAACTAACTAACGCTATGGTCCTTCATACCTGAGTAGATCCAGACTCTTTAGCTGGGGCTACCCTCCTAGTGGCCCATTTAATTTCCCAGTCAGCACCAGATATTAGAAAAAAACTAAAGAAGGCAGAGGAGGGCCCCAAACTCCCATACGAGACCTGGCAAACATGGCATTTAAATTTTTTAATGGCCGAGAGGAAATGGCTGAGGCCGCCCACCAGGCCCAGCTAGAGCAACAGGTGAGCCTCTAAGCCCAAGCTCTTGTAGTGGCTCTGAGGCCGGCAACTCACCAAATGTCTGGTGTAAGGGGCCTGTCAAGGACCCCCCAAAAGGGTCCCTCAGGACTCTCTAGACCCACCCAGACTGCTTCCAAGGTCCCGCCTGGGCCCTGTTTCAAGTGTGGCCAAGAGGGGCACTGGGCCTGACAGTGCCCCTGTCCGCATTTAGCCCTGGGACCCTGTCCTATCTGCCAATGGACCGGACACTGTAAGGTAGATTGCCTGTCCCAGACTACAGGCTCACCCCTTCCATGTGAGGGGCAGGCCAGTCCGAAGGATGCAGTCCCTTTGTTTGAACTCCTTGGCCTCATGGACAACTGATGTGGCCCAGGCTCGGAGACCCCTATCACCCTTGCTGAGCCCAAGGTAATGCTACAGTAGCAGGTAAGTCCATTTCCATCTTAGTAGGCATGGGGGCTACCTATTCTGTATTGCCTTCCTACTCAGGACCTAACACACCTTCCCAGGTGTCAGTTATGGGAATTGATGGAAAGCCCTCCTGCCCCAACCAGACTCCTCCCTTAGCCTGTAAACTTGAGGGGAACCCATTCGCTCACTCCTTCCTGATCATGCCTTCGTGCCCAGTTCCCCTACTAGGATGGGACATCCTCCAAACCCTAGGGACCATCCTCCAACTCACTGGCACCTCACAGCCAACCTCATCCCCCACCCATTTTCTAGTACTAACCCTAACTGGTAATGGACCCAGTCATAACCCTTCACCTCAACCCCCATCCCTCCTGAGGTATTTAGCCCTTCAGTAAAAGATACCTCCAAGCCTGTAGTGGCCACACATCACACGCCAGTTAAAATATTTCTCAAAACCCCTACCCACTTTCCCTCCCGTCCTCAGTTTCCCATCTAAAAAAAACCACCATCAAGGCCTAAAACCAATCATCACTCGATTTTTAGCCCAAGGACTCCTTATCCCCACCAGTTCTCCTTGTAATACTCCTATCTTACTGGTCCAAAAGCCATCGGGTGACTACCGCCTAGTCCAAGATCTACACCTTATCAATAACGTGGTAATACCCCTCCTTCCAGAGTCTTACTTCCTCTTTGCCTTCACCTAGACCCATCTGGACACTAACCTGTCACAACAGTTAAGCTCGACAGTCCTGCCCCAAGGCTTTAAGGACAGCCCCGACATTTTCAGACAAGCATTGGTGACTGACCTCAGTTCTTACCCCATTCAACCCAGTCTCCTTCTCCAGTACATAGATGACCTGTTACTTTGTAGCCCCTCCCTCTCCATGTCACAGCAACATACTGCTATCCTCCTTAATTTTCTTAGGTCTCAGGGGTACCGGGTATCCCCCTCTAAAGCACAGCTGTCACTTCAGTAACTTATTTAGGCAATACCATCCTACAAAATGAAGCCACTTTAACCATTTAAAACCCCTAAAGAACACCCCCAACCTTTCTCCTGGCTAACTTTAGTCCAACAAAGTATCAACATGTTAGATTTAGCCAAATCCACAAATTTCACCAACTGCTTTTAATGTGCCTCCCTCAACAACACCCCTTTGCTGCAGTTCCCCTCCAGACTGGGTTCAACCTGTCATGATCACCTATAGGGCAGCCTCACCCCCCTTAACAGACATCCCCCTGTTTAAGGTACACTTTCAAAGTCTCTCTCTCTGCTACAGGACTGTCAATAACTCCCACTGCAATATTATAGTAAAGGTAACCTCCACACTCTATGCACCTCCAGGGGGGTACTTTTGGTGCAATGCAACTCTAACCAAAGTTATAGATATCTCTCTTCCCTTCCCTTGTGTACCAGCCACCTTGGTCCTCCAGTTAGAAGTATATAGACAAGCTGAGTTCTTATCCCTGGTCACTCCATCCCCAAACCACCAAAGTAAATGAGCAGTCTTCCTCCCACTAATGGTTGGCCTCTCCTTAGCATCTTCTCTAGCAGCAGCTAGAATAGGGAGTGGTGCCCTGGGCTACAGTGTCACCTCAGCTGCACAACTAGAGAACAAACTCCGGGTGGCCATTGAGGCATCAGCTGCCTCTCTGGCATCCCTCAAGTGACAAATCACATCACTGGCTGAGGTAACTCTCCAAAATCGATGGGCCCTAGACCTGTTAACAGCAGAAAAAGGAGGTCCCTGCTTGTTTCTCCAAGAACAATGTTGTTATTACATTAATAAAACTGGTCTAGTGGAAGAAAATGTCAACACTCTCTATCATCTTCAAGAAGACCTCCAAAAAAAAAAAAAAAAACAAAGTGCACCAGCCTCTTCTCTTAATTGGTGGCAATCCCCTATACTTACCTGGCTAACCCCTATCATCACTCCCATTATCATAATTTGTCTTTTACTAATGCTAAACCCTTTCTTTCTCAGGTTTTTACAAGCTTGCATAAAAGAAATTTCCAGGGTAGCCATAAATCAAATGCTACTTCACCCATCTGTCCGAGGCACTGGCCAACAGACCCCCGCCTACTCTGCCCCTGTTCAGCAGGAAGTAGCCAGAGAAAAATGGCATCCTATATCATCAAAAAGGTCGGAATGTAAGGCTGGTTGCCTTGCCAGGAGT